ATATATACACATACACACGTATGTAAATGTATAATAATAGGTATACACATACGCACATATTTTAAAATATAATTTTAAATAAATAATTTTAAAACCCAGTAATATGCAGATATTTCCACAAAGAGAAAAATCCTCCATAATACAGGGAGGAAATATCTTAGTATTTATTCCCATTTGTAGTAGTTAGAAGGAGCCCTGGTGGCTCAGTTGTAAAGCACTCAGCTGCCAACAGAAAGGTTGGTGATTTGAACCCACCAGTGGATCTGTGGGAAAAAAGACCTGGTGATCTGCTCCTGTAAAGATTACAGCCTAGGAACACTGTGGGGCATTTCTACTTTGTCATACAGGGTCACTGTAAGTTGCAGTCAACTCGATGGCACACAACAACAACAACGCAGTAATTAAAGGACCCTGGGTAGTGCAAATGGTAGCACATGGGGTCACCATGAGTTAGAACCGACTCGACCTCAATGGGTTTGGGGTTTTTTTTTTTTTTTTTTTGGTGGTAGTTAGTAGTGGGGAGCCCTGGTGGGACAGTGGTTCAGCATTCAGCTGCTAACCAAAAGGTCGGCAGTTTGAATCCACCAGCTGCTTCTTGGAAACCAAACCCTATGGGGAAGTTCTACTCTGTCCACTGTGAGTTGGAATCAACTTGACGGCAACGGATAACAGATAACATGTAAAGAGGGGCCTAGCTCATGTGGCACTCAATAAATATTTGGTGAGTGAATGGTTGAGCATTCAGAAGCTGCCTCTGCACCTGTAGGGCAGGCGTTTTGTATTGGTTGTAGAAAAATATGGATTTTTGAGTCTCAAACCCAGGCTTGAATCCTGGTGCTGTCATTTACTGTGACTCTGGATCACATTGCTTAACCCCTGTCTGGGTCTCAGCTTCCTCGTTAGTACGACTGTGTAATGACTTCTGTTTCCTAGTGTGTTTGTGAGTATTAAATAAGAAAATCTATACACATGCACACACCTCCTGTAGGGTCTGGTACGTGGCAGATACTCAAATATTAGTTCCCTTGTCCTCTCATTGGCTGTGTGGGTAGTTTGGCTGTGGAGCAGATTTGGGAGGGATATACAGGAGAAAACTGCTTTTCTGCATTTTGAAAACATGAGTGATGATGTAAGAATCAAGACGTTATATCATGAAGTGATTTTTCTTCCCTTGCCTCTTTTCTCCGTAGCTTGTGTTTAGCTTCAATGATAAGCTTTTTGGCTTACTGGTGAAGGATATTGAAGCCATGGATCCTAGCATCCTGAAGGGGGAGACTTCGACAGGTAAAAGACAGAAGGTATGGTTTGTTTCTGATATTGGCATCTAAGCCATCTTTGTGATGTGACTTATGTAGATTAATAATATTTTCCTAGCCGTTCTCTTACTCATCAGTTTCTTTCATATTGTATACTTTAAGATAATAGGGAGAAAAACATTGCTTGTTTTATATGTGTATGTGTGTATAGTTATTAAAATATATTTACTTGGAGACCTAATAAAAACTGAAATTTGCATAATGTGCTTGTCATCCTGGTTGACTACAGATGCTGTTTATTGTAGTATAGTTAAAATGTATTTGACTAAACAATAACAATAAGAAAGACATTATCAAAAAGACAGAGACATTGAAATAAAGTAGGAATAGTAGGAGGTAGCTATGAAAGAAGTAAATGTAACTTAGATGCTAGTTTGGAAAATTTGCTTTGCACAGAGAGACCTTATTTCCCCTTCATTTTCAGCCTTGTTTAGAGAAGTCCAAATGTCTGCTATTAGACTAGCTAATTATTGTCTTTCTGTACAGATTGAAGTAGGCCTGGTGGTTGGAAACAGTCAAGTTGCGTTTGAAAAAGCAGAAAATTCATCACTCAATCTTATTGGTAAGATTATAGTTTTTAGAAGATTCTGAATGAAGTGGGGCTATCAGTGTTAACATGTGACTCAACAATGGTGATTCTCAAGTGGGGAAGGAAAAGAGGCACATCCGTTTAAGAGGATTTGTCATAAAATCGTGAGGTGTTTCATGTCTGTCAGATGTGTTGATGTAGAAAAAAAGGTCTGAGTCTTCCTCTAGATTACCATTGTCCAACAGAAATACAATGTGAACCACATAATGAAATTTTTTATTTCCTAGTAGCCACATTAAAAATAAGTAAAAAGAAACAGATAAAATTATTTTTTTAACTTTTAAGATAATTTTAGGCTTACAGGAGAGTTGCAAAAATATTTGAGAGCTCCTGTATATCCTTCACCAGCTTCCCCTGATGTTAACGTCTTACACAGCCTTAGTACAGTTACCAAAACTCAGAAATTAACATTGTTACATTGCTTCTAACTAAACTACTTGATATGGATTTTGCTGTTTTTTTCACAATGTTGGTTTTCTGTTCCAGGATCTCATTCAGAATCCCACGTTGCATGTAGTTGGTTTGGCCCTTTAGTCTTCTCCTGTCTCTGACAGTTCCTCAGACTTCCATAACATTGAGAACTGGTCAGTTATTTTGTAGAATGTCCCTTACCAGGCTGTTGTATTAAATAAGATAATAGCATCACTTCTGGTAGTGACTGAGTTGAGTGATGAGTGCGCCGGTAAAGTCTTCCCAACAGATTCATAATTCAGCCCTACTCTTGCACTGTAGCCCTATTCTATTATAGTAAAACAATGCAGGTTGGTCTCTAAGAATCGCAACTCACCAGAATAACAGTGTCATCAACTATATAGTAATTCTAATTTTGAGTTAACATAACTATGTTGATGTCTACGCTGACAAAAAAAAAAGAGGATTTTCATGGATTGCTATCCTCATCATCATATCCAAGGTTACTTAACTTTCTTTGAATGTGTGACCTTTTTTTCTTAATCTGTAAATTATTATTTCCTTTCTTTTCCCTTGCTGTTTTCCTTAATTATGAAAGAAGTTTTTTTTTTCCTGTAAAATATGAATAGGCAAAAGGAAGAAAATAAAACACCACTTATAGTCTCTCCAAGGAGCCCTAGTGGCCCAGTGGTTAAAGCAGTTGGCTCCTAACCCAAAGGTCGGCGATTGGAATCCACCAGCTCTGCTGAAGAAAGATCTAGAGAAAGATGTGGCAGTCTGCTGCCATAAAGATTACAGCCTTGGAAACCATGTGGGGCAGTTGGGGCAGTTCTACTCTGCTCTGTAGGGTAGCTGTGAGAGTCGACTTGGCAGAAACGGGGTTTTTGTTTGTTTATAGTCTCTTCCATGCGAAAACAACTCACACACTGGAAGTTTTAAAAATGTGATTCTGTTTTCATACTGTTTTATAATCTACTCTTTTTGCGTAACATATTTAAAGGATTTTAATAAATGCATCTCTATAACATAATTTTCAATGACTTAGTGTGTATTAGAGATATAGGACCTAATTTCCTATTATTGAGACAATACATTTCTGAAGGAATTTGTTTCTTCTTATACACCTTTTGTAAAATGCCTTTTCTAAAGGGAGTTGAATGGCTTCCATACAATGCAGGTATTTCTAAGCAATCCATGAAATTGTGTGATTGGTATATTTTCATTGGAAATAAAATTATGTAGTGATTTGGCAGAACATAAATTATAAATTTGGCCACGAGAGGGCAGCAGAGTATAAGAAAAATACTTTGATAGCTGCCTAAAGGAAATCTTGGTCCACAAAACTCCAATGGTAAAAACACCATGTAGAATTCACTTTTTCTAATGTGACTTTTCTTCCTTGATTTTATAAAAACTGTTAAGATTAGTTTTTGTTTGTTTGCAGTTAAGTGTACTAAAGTACTTTATTCTTTGTGTTTGATACAGTAAATGTGCTTCTTTTGAGTGACTTTAGGTGGCGCTCTGACATTGAAATTAGATCATTTTTATCTGCTTGTGATAGAATTTGTAGGCATGAATTTTATAATCCCAAAGTCTTTAGAATGATTGTAGACTCTTGTGTGCAAGTGAAGAGAAAACAAATAAGAAATCAAACTTATTCAATACATCCTTTCAGGCTAAGGGGTTATATACCCAATTATAAACTTAATCTAGATAAATGTATGTGTTTTTAAATACACTTGCTTTAGGAGTCTTGAGGAACTGCTAGATTTCAGTTGCATTTCTGGCAACTAGTGTTGTCTTCATCAGATATACACATGGTGTTTCTTTTAATCAAGTAAGTTAATTAACTTGGTTAGGATTCAAGGTTAATAAAACCAAGTTCCGTGGATTGATTACAAATGGATTACAGCATAGGTTAGCTTAGCATTTTGAAAATGTATTACTGACCTCAAATAGGGACCACACAAAGTAGGTAACATAGCAAAACTCTTCCTTCTTATTAGAAAATCAGCTAAGAGCATGTTCTTCATCTTTGTGTAGGGCTGCTGCTTTTTACTCATTGAGGATGCCCAGGGAGTTCTCTCTTCTTACACTTAGTAATGAAGTTCTTGTTTCACATTTGATTGTTTTTGTTTGACACAGGCAAAGCTAAAACCAAGGAAAATCGTCAGTCTATCATCAATCCTGACTGGAACTTTGAAAAAATGGGCATAGGAGGCCTGGACAAGGAATTTTCAGATATTTTTCGACGAGCATTTGCTTCCCGAGTATTTCCTCCAGAGATTGTGGAGCAGATGGGTGAGTTTGAAAGGGAAGATTTATATTGTTAAAAAAAATTAATGTGATGAAGAATCTCTTTTCAGTAATGCTGTAAAATTATTTTTCAGACCTGCCAAAGTATTTTTCTGTTTTAACTTCTTTTTTTTTGATAAATAGCTAAGTTTTCTGGAAACCCTTAAAAGCGTTAAAACTTTTAAAATTACATTTTAATTCTATGGGGAAATCATAGAATTTGTGGTTGCCCCATTTTATTTATTTATTTAGGATATTTTTCTATAGGGCATATTTAGAAATTTCGTCTGACTCTGAAGATCGATATGGGTTGAATTTACCTTACTGAATAATCATTATCTATTAGACTGCAGGCAGTGTTCTAATATTAGCTGCTGCTCCTTTTTATTGTGCTATTGCACTGCTTCATTGGTACATATTCATACCTAGTAAAATGGATATCTGGCATATTTTTAAACTAGCTAAATTTGATCGAAAAAGACAAATGCAGGATATATATAGGCATTCCATATTGTATACAAAGAAATACCTTATTCACTTATCACTTTCTTCTTGAAGGTTTATTTAATGTGTCTATATGAAGTGGCTTTATTTGCCCTAGTGGTAATGCTGTTTTCATATCCATATCATAGGTTGGATTGGAATGTGAGCAACAGAGCAATCTAAGAAAGGAATTTGTAACATAACGCTTCTGGCAGACTATTAGTATGAAAACAGTGTCCAAAAAACTGAAGGAATATGAATACATTACTCCCCTCAGCCCCATTATTCTTTATCTTCAAATTGCTACTGGGAGATAAAAGTATATTCATCATGGTGGGGATAAGAACTGCTTTCTAGGCACTAAGTGCTTGGGTTGTATCAGCCTCCTATTGTTGGTAGCTTTTCTGCCTGGTTGCTCGCTCTGATAAATTACAGACATTGCACACACCTGTTCTCTGGGTAAAGGTCGAGTTTGGAATTGGATTAAGAGAAAATGACAGAGACCCTCATCACCTGAGTTTTATACTCCTCAAAATGGCACTGACAGGCTTTTTTTTTATCTGAAAGATACAAAGACCAAGTCCATAAAAAACAGAATTTTAATTGGGAAAATAGTAAAAATATGTGACAGTTCACTATCTTGGTAATACGTATTTTGAGGCACAATTATTCCATAAACCTTTGTGATCAAGACATGGAAATTTGTTTGAGTATATTTTGGATATAAGCAGAGATGACAGGATGATTCCAAATTTGCTAACTTATTCTTGTGGAATATTTTTACTGATTTTCAAGACTGGGCCTGGTTTAGAAAGGGTTCTAAAGATTCTGTTTCTTTGAACATTCATACTCTTCAGCCAACAAGTAGAAAAATAACTGTTTCTGTAATAAGCCATGTCATTTAATTATAAATACTCTCTCACCATTTGGGAGCTGTTGAAACTCCACTTATTCAGAAACTAGTTTTCTGTTTGTGCGTTAGGGCCTCTATCTGAGGCCAGGCAGATAAATGCATAAAGGAGTAAAACTCTTATCAATTTGTGACTTTTTGCCAGCTGTGACGTTTGAAATTAAATCAGAACAGGGTTGGGATTTATTAGTGAATTTCATCTGTGTTGCTGCCATCTGTATTGAAATAAGTTGAATTGTAGTAGCGTGCTTTGTTGTTGATGATGTGCTTTTTTGATTGAGTACTGTGGATTTGAATTTTGTTTGTGAGTGCTACTGCCCAGAACCTTTTTTATGATTTATCTTTCTAATATTTTTACACTCATTTAGCTAGACAAAAAAAAAAAAAAAAAAGAGTTTTCCCTTTCTAAAAAAAAAAAAAAAAAAAGCTTTTCTCCCTTGTGGTTTTTTGCCATCCGGAAGCACGTGTTCTCAATTTGATTTCAAAGACAACTAGTGTAAAAAAAGCACATCATCAACAACAAAGCACGCTACTACAATTCAACTTATTTCAATACAGATGGCAGCAACACAGATGAAATTCACTAATAAATCCCAACCCTGTTCTGATTTAATTTCAAACGTCACAGCTGGCAAAAAGTCACAAATTGATAAGAGTTTTACTCCTTTATGCATTTATCTGCCTGGCCTCAGATAGAGGCGTTTGAGCTGAATTAAAAGATATTGTCCTCTTTATTTTGAATGTAGATTCTGAGTTTCCTAAAACTACTATTTTAGTGGTGAAATGGCTGAGAAGTAATTCTTTTTGCTACGCATGTGTCATTCCCTATTTTTCAATAGAGGCTTCTTTTTTCCTTTGAGTTTTGGGGGAATTACATAGTAGAATGCTTCGTTGCATTCCAAGTGTAGTGCGGTTATGAAGTTCTCATTAAGCTTTGGCAGAGGTATATAAAAGTACAAATTACTACATTTGAACAGAATATAAAATCAACTTACACAAGTTCTTTCTATACATACTCTATGTGCTTTTACCCTGTCAGGTGGCAACAAAATTGGCTGATTTTTCCTCTGTCTTTGTTAACTAAATAGACAAGTCCTGGTGGCACAGTGCTTAAGAGCTTGGCTGCTAACCAAAATGTCGGCCGTTCGAATCCACCAGCCACTCCTTGGACACATTATGGGACAGTTCTACTCTGTCCCGTAGTGTCGGTTTTGTTGTTGTTGTTGTTTGTATGGTTTTGGAATCTAGCTGGACACTGGGTATAATGGTTAAATCAATTCAAATAAAAAAGAAAATAGTGATTGGGAAAGAATAATTTATGTAGTTTATGAGTTTTTGTTTTGATTTGTTTTAAGCAGAGAACTTTTTTTACTTTTTTACTTTTGGCTTGAGACCAAATTACTGTCTTTATTATGGAATCTGGAGTCATGTCTACTTTGTAAACAGAAATCTTAACCAAATGAGTCTTTTTGCCTAAATATAAATTTTACAAATTCACAAAGTGATAAATATAAAATTTCCTTCTCTTCTGTCATTGTGTTTATAAGATTGATAATTATACTTTTATGTAATACAGTTCTTTACTTTTTCTTGTAAGACTTTTTTGCCTTTTCAAAATTGAAAATATAGTTTAGATACATACAAAATTTGCTAATGAGATACGAACTGAATGACTTAGGCGTAGGCACACAGTTATGCTGTAAAATTAGGGATCAGTTGAGGTAATACATGTCGCTAGAGTCGGAATCGACTCAACAGCCATGGGTTGGGTCTGGTTTGGTTTTGAGGTAATATACATGTCCTAGGGATTCCAATCTGTTAGTTTCTATCTTGAAATACTTCCAAGTACATAGTATGTACCCTCTCATTTTTGCTATGATATTTTTATGTAATTAAAATCAAGGAAAACCTTAACGGGAAAAAAGAAATCACATAAAGCTCTGCAGACAGAGGGATAAAAGCCACGTATAGAAATAGGAAAAGGGATTATTTAGGGGGAATATCACTTAGGTTTTTGTTGATGTTGTTTTAATCAGTATGATGGTTTAATTTTTCCTTGTCTGTAACAGTCGGGATCACCCAAACCCAAGTGCAACAGCTCTTCCTTGGAAATATATGAAAGCATTGGCAAAGAAAACTAGACCTACGTCTTGTGCTTAGTGGATACAAATTACTAGTTAGAATGACTTTCAATCCTCATTTTATGGAATAATAGAAGCCCCATTTAAGCCTTGGGGTACTAACGTAGGCATCAAAAGCTGGTCTCTGGAGGTAGATAAATAAACTCAGCAGCTGATTGCTGTCTCTGAGCATATCCAGGTGCCAACTGAATATACAGACTTCTTTCTGTTCAGACATTTACCACACTTTCTCCTTTACATGCAGTTTTGTGGTGAGTGCTCATGATAAATATGGTGATTGGTTGATTACCTCAATTCTCTTATTTTAGCTGTTTTGTTGGCAAAGGTAGAGTAACTGCAAAGAAATGACATTTTTCAGCATCTCTGGCAATGACCTCTAAACGGTAAATGTCAGAGCAAAACAACAAATCCTTTTTAAAGAACAGTGGAATAATTGTTAAAGAATTATTCAGTGTCTCTTCATGGAATCTTGGGAATAAGTTCACCTCTACCCAGGGAAAGGGGCTTTGGCAGAAGTCATCCAATTTAGAGCTGAAAGGAAGAGGGTGTGGAGACCCAAGACCTCAAGCCTCACACTGTCTTTCCACAGATCTCTATAGCTCATGGATGTCTAGGCCACCTAGTGGGGAGGAAAGCCACTCGTTGTGGTGTTGTGCCCCCATTCTTTGAAACTGACACTGTTTCGTTTTGGTCCCCTTTCTGCTGTGCCTCCCTCTCTAAGCCCATTTTCAATCTGTATTTTCAAGGTTTCTCCTGAAATTCTAGAGGAAAGCAGCTCTTTTCTGATATCACAAGTGGAACTGCAGTTCCTCTATAAAGTGGAGGTGCCAAGAAGATAAGGAGCCTTTCAATCACACGCAGACATCTTTCACATGCTAAGAACAGTGCAAATAAAATATAGTGGAAGAAAGGGCACTGAGATTTTGTACATGCCATATTTGGGAGGGAAGGAGTTCTTGCTAAGATTAACATAAACACTGACACTCTTAAAATGCATTTTCATACCCCCACTCTTGTGGAGAGATTGCAATTTAAATGGGGGTTAAGACATCTAGCTGAACTCCAGGGCTCTGTAAAAGGAACCCTAAGGCTAAAGAGCTTATCTGAAATTTGAAAAAGAAAAAGAAAAAAAAAAAAGAAGCTTTCTGACATTCATCTTTTTTCCTTGTATTAGTCATAACTTGCTTTTCAGCTATATTTTAGATTTTGAATGCCAACATGACATCTGTTGAAGTCTGCCTGTAATTTATTAGGAAAGGAAAAGAAAGCAATTGCTCACTAGTTAGAGATGCAGCCCTTCCCCCTTCTGATTTTCCACTGAGTACTTATAGATGATACCTGGATCTGAGGAATGTAATAATTTACTCATTCTAACTTCCCCTTAGGACATTTATAAAGTTTGGTGTTTTGTTTGTTTGTTTTTGTTTTTTTAAATTAGAAGAAGATAGTTTATAACTATGTGATATCCAAAA